CATGTCAGCCCAATTATTTCTCAAATCAGTGGCCAAGCCAAATACTCACCAATTGTGGGCAAACTTTCAAGATCTCCAGTTCTTTTTAGATAGCAATATAATATTAAAATAGTCTAACAGAGCTTGTTTATTATCATTAGTCATGACTGAGAAGCATGCCATGGTTAAGATTTATTATGTGATATGGCCTATTGTACCACCTACCATTTAATTGAAAAAAGCAATTGGTTGTACAAACATGCTGCTGGATCTAGAACTGTAGAACCTCTAGAAGACAGCGAAGGGAAGGTGTTCAACTACTCAGTGTAACTTTCAGTCGGCAGTATCCACCATTTTGCTATACTGACTCTTGACATATTTCCAGATATAGGCAAGCGTTTACATTGGCTAGACTAAATGTCTTCCCATCCATAAGGCTGGAAAGGTGCTTTGAGGGTCTTGCTCAACATCTGAGATTCTGTCCCTGTGAAAATGGGTTGCAAATTTCAAAAATCAGAGGTCCTTTTCATTTCCTCAATCTTTTCCTCTGTCTGGGAAATACTGATAAGTTTTACATTTCTGTTCCACTGTTAGCTGATAAACCTGGAGTTACACTGGATTTAGGCAAATCTCTAAAATAGGCATTAAAACTAGACTCTTATGTGTTTTTGTTAGTTGTCTAGAGACTTTTAGTAATGGGACAGCATATAAAAACTTTAAATAAATAAATGAGAAATAAGGGGGTATTTTATTGAGAGATGAACTAAGGTTTAACTTATTTATGATTATTTATGTATTCTACACTTTTAGAATATGTATTTGATGTATATACAATTGTTTTTCACTTTGCTTGTAGTTTTAGTCAAGTAATATCCATACATATGTGCAATTTATATATTTGTTATGGCCTGTAAACCAAAATAAAGTGATTGATAGCTTGGTTGAGTATAAAAGCTAGAAAGTGATGAGTAGAGGAAGACTGAACATACTGGCATCACTAGGTGATGGACAAGAGGACTAGAGGAAGAGTTTCAAACATGAATGGATTTGACTGTACTAACCTGTTAGTACTGGGCCTCTTCTGGGCTTGGCATAGAAAGGCGGCTGCTGAAAGCCAAGAGGGTTGGAAGCCCCCATCTGCACCAGGTGCTTCTCACAGTAGGGGCTGTTCTCCTCTTCACTTGCATATCCAGCTGGCAAAGGGAAGCATCAGCATTGAGCCCATCTTAAAGTTGCATTCTGGGTAGCCGCCACCCGAACCAACCAAATGCTGCCTTTGGGGCTCATAGGCAGCATGGGCCCATGCAGGCCAGTTTTTGTCTGTCTTGTGCCCTCGTTTGCCATGCTCCCACAAGCAGGCAACAGCATATAGGGGCACGCTGGCGCTCCTCCTCAGAATGTGACTTTTTAAAAATAAATCCTGCACCACATGCCCTACAGCCCTGGCTAGTCACGTCCTCTGTCACTCTGCCAGTGAAAAGGTGGGCAGGGTGAGGAAGACGTTGCAGTTGCCACAGCTGTCACTACCCCTTGGCCAGGTGAAAAGAGACGCAGAATGCTGGCTAGTTCTGGCAGCCTGTTGAGGAGGGGTTGGCTTGAACATCCAACAGGCCGGTTTTGGTGATGGCAGTGTGACAGGAAGTATTCAGGCAACTTTTGCATCCCAGGAACAAGCTTTAGTGGTTGCAGGAGGCAACAGTAATGGGAAGTGGTTGTGGGAATCCCATCAGAGTACTCTGCTGAAGTCTACCATTCTTGGATGGGCTGGATTCTTGCACCAGCTCTGTCTTCAGGTATTATCAAAGAGGATGAATGCAGAATGTAATAACATCTCTTTAAAGGTAGCTGTACATGCACTCATGGAAAGTGCTGATTGCACTAATGGATTAGAACTGCTGTAAAACTCCCAGGTATTGGGTGGTACAGAAATGAAATACCGTATTTTTCTGTGTATAAGATGCTACTTTTTTAAAAAAACATTTACTTAAAAATGGAGGTGTGTCTTATACACAGGGAGCCGCAGGCGGGCTGGGGGAGGGAGACTGGCAAGTGGGGGAGCCTCAGGCAAGTATGCACGGGGGGGGGGGGAAGCAGGGCAGGGGGAGGGGGGGGGGGGGGCAGGGGGGGGGGGAAGGAGGGGGGGGGGGGAATGGCAGCAGCTTGCTCACTGGAGATGGGTAGGAAAAGTGGGGGGCGTCCTATACATGGGGGTGTCTTATAGACTGAAAAATATGGTAAACAACAACAAATACTAATTAAGAAAATGTTTTAAACATATCTCAACTGGAGCAGCCTATGATTAATGGATGTACATTGGTGGTGTTACTTTTGTTACTAGCAAGGTTTTGTTAAAATTTAGTTAAAGCAACAATTTCATTTCATATCCAATAAAAATAATATGGTTGATTTAATTATAATGTAAAGTGCAGCAATTGTTTTATGACTGTAAATTGATACTGGCAAGCCAAGTGAAAGGCAGTAATGAACACATTTGTATGGTTCCTGCATGCACCATCTGTAAAAACCATTCAGCATTTCAAAATACTGAAGAAATAGTTGGAAAATCTAAAGTCTGTTCATGGGTCTGCTTGTTATTCTGTAAAATACACATTTGTGGAGAAAACTCAATATTAGTCCCCTTTTCCCAGTATATTCCACTGTCTTAGAGGGAAAATAAAAATGAATTTCAGCTGTACATTATGAATTCATGTGTAGAGTACAAATCTACATTAAGAATTCAGGTGTGGTGCGTCACAGCACATGTTTAATTATTATTAAATTACTTAGGCACACTTCAAGAGCAAATTTAATTTACACAGTGCTAGAATGCAAAATAAAGATAAAAAGTAGCTGATGAAAACTTACATTTCTAATTAGTAATTATGTGCTGATTTTATCTTTTTCCTATGGCTTCCATTAGATTAGTAAAGATAACAGCTGCAATTTTGTTTATCAGTTCATACATATTATTCCACTCCTGTGGGGAAACCATGTTTGTCAATGTCAACGCAAATCACAGTCACTAAACTGTTGATTTTTATGGTAATGTGTCACAAATGCCTGGATTACGTTGTTGTTATTGTCAACTTAATTTCTATGCTGCCTGATAGACAAAATTAATAAACCAAGACAAGAGAATAAAACACCATTAAATTTTTGAAAATGCAATACTTAAAAACAATTTAACAGCTAAAATAATATATGAGACAGAATAGACCTGTTAAAGCACCAGATATGAGTAATCCCTTTAAACCACTAAATAGCTTTGGGTTTTTTAAATAGCCTCATAAAAGGCAATTTTGACTTGGTGTTAAAAAGATGGCAAAGTTGGCATCAGGTGGGTTTCACTGACAAGATCTTTCCATAATTGTGGGTCTGTCACTATGAAAGTTCTCCCTGTGTGGTTGCCTGTCGAGCTTCCCTTGGCACTGACACTTAAAAGAAGGCCTCAGATGCTGATGGCAGCATCTGGGTGGATTGTGGGTGGTTCTGAGGTCCCAAGCTGTGAAAGGCTTTACAGGATAAAAACAACAGCTTGAATTGGGCTTGGAACCCTTAGGCAGCCTGTTCAAGGAGCCCAGAATTGGTCTTATGTGTTCAGCTGGTCCCAGTTATTAGTGATTTGCACAAGCTGCACCTTCTGAAGTAGCAGCATCCAGGGTGTGGGCAGCTGATTGTCCAGCACAGGCAGCAGGACCCAGGCTAAAGTCCAAGCACCAGTCCCAACCAAATCAACAGTCAGTTCCAGTAGAAGAGTCAGTAGATAGAAGAGCAAGGTTAAGTCCAGTCCAATCAACAAAAGCATATCCTAGCAGGCCAGGAGTCAGAAACCAGTGACATGACACAAACAGGAGTGGCTAGCTTAGGCCTAGAGCAGGGCCCATGAGTTCAGGCAACAATGGTCGCCATAACAAATCAAAAACCCTTTGTTGCTACATTAGCTTCTGGAGGGAAGAGTCGGTTCTTATACAGCTCTTCCCCCAGGGCTCCCAGGTGGTGCTCATGCAGTCATAATCCTGCAACTGGCAGGGCTGCTGTTCTGCTGCTAGGCTCGTGGATGGAACCCTGAAGCTGCCTCAGATCCTGGCATGAACAGTCTTCAAGGGCAGTCCCATGTATAGTGAATTTCTGTAATGTAATGTAGAGACCAGTGGAACTTATATTAATATCCCTGTCCAGATAGGGGTGTAGCTCAGCTACAGTTGGTAAGAGATATTCCATGCTAGAGATGGGAGAGAACTCAACCAGATTTTCCTTTGTGGACATCCTGTTGTGTCCGGCCCCATCTTAGAAAGCCAGCCAAGCTGTGTGGAAGTCAGTGAAAGCCTATGGAGTGGAGGTTGCACAACTGGAAGCCTTCTTCTGCCTCACCTGCAGCACCAACAAAGGCTTCTGGGCATGGTGCAGAAGAGGGATGCTGCTTGCATGGCAGTTTCACAAGGCTCCATGCCTGGTGAGCCTCACCTGACAACCTTCTTCCGTGTGATGTGCAGCAGCACAAAGGACGGCTGCTTCTCATGGCATGGCTGCTCGCAAGTGCGTCTGGCTTGAATCTTCCTAAGTGTCCCTTGAATGCTGCATGTTCTTTTCAGCAAATTGGACTTTAGGGCCATGACAAAGCAGGGAGCCTAGCCCAGGCAATCCAGTGGATTCCTACCCCCAAAAAGGGTTCCTCACACACTTCTGTTCCATGCTACCGATGCCACCTGAGCCTCAAGTAACAAATAGGACTGGTAGAGTACTGCCAAGCTGTGAAGCTGCTCCTTCAAGGGGAGTGCCACCCCACCCAGTGCACCCTCCATGCAGTCCGATAAACCACCCCTAAACAGCTTCCTAGTCATCTCTGAATTGAGCTTCACCTGTTAGCCCTCATTAAGTCCACAGTGACAGTCAAGCACCAGCTTAGCACGTCTACATGAGGTATATTATTAATATGATTAGACTTTTCTAAAAGGAAAAAAAAACAGGTGCTTGGAGCTCTTCATTTTAAATTGACCTTTTTCCTCTCGTTGTTTCTCAAGCCTGTGCAACTTCAAAAGGAGGAAGTGAAGATGAAGGCGAGGCAGAAGCTGGTTGGATTGAAGGTGCTGCCATTCTCCTCTCTGTTATTTGCGTGGTACTGGTTACTGCCTTTAACGACTGGAGCAAAGAGAAGCAATTTCGTGGACTTCAAAGTCGTATTGAGCAAGAACAGAAGTTTACTGTTGTCCGAGGTGGACAAGTAATTCAAATACCAGTAGCAGAGATAGTAGTGGGGGACCTTGCACAGATCAAGTACGGTAAGTTACTTTGAATATATCGTGGGCAATCTGTCTCTGGATTGCAAGGGATGCTGTATGATGTGTTTGATAACAAGGATGTCAGATAAGATGTCACAAAAATAATCTAAAGCCACTAAGTCTCCAAGTTTTGATTTCTGTGGCAGTATCCCTGGAACCCATCAGTGATCCTCTCATGAGAACAATGAATGTCCCAACTATAAGAACACCTTTTCTCTCAATTTAAATTATGAGAGCCAATCCACATGTTTATTCCATAGTATATCTTTGGACTGACTCTTCCTTCCATTGTCTAGAAGGCAACCCCCATCATCATCATCATCTCCTCCTCTTTCTCCTCTATACTGCCCAATAGCCAATCAATGTGTGCATGGGGCTTATCTAAGTCAGGGGACGTAACTAAAGTTCTGCCCATGCTTAAAGTTACTGGAACTGGTTTGTCTCTAGATAGCACATGGCACCCATGTATTTGAAGATTCCATGTGTCTTCTTGCAATGGACCTGAATCTGAAATGCATGGAACCGTCATACTGGGCTTCCTTTACTGTAAATACTCAGGCTGCATCTTTTTTCCCCCAGTGGCTTACAAAAAGGAATGAGGCAAACCAAATATTTAGGATATTATTGAACTCAGGCATGCATATTACTTACTCACAAAATACATGTTTTTCTTCAAGGGAACAACACTGATTTTTCCTTCATTATGTGTTTGTATGAAGTAACATTGTTGTGAACTGGCAATTATTAATGCAGTGATAACTGGCATAGTGTGAGAAAGATCTTTCCTTAACATGAGTACTGTGATAGAAGATTCATATGTTGATTATGCAAATCTGTTTCAAAGCACAGTGCTTAACAGTTCTTAACTTGGTTTTTCTGATAGGTGACCTCCTACCTGCTGATGGGGTGTATATTCAAGGAAATGACCTTAAGATAGATGAAAGCTCTTTAACTGGAGAGTCAGATCAAGTCCGCAAATCCATTGACAAAGATCCAATGCTGCTTTCGGGTGAGTTTTGCACTGGTTGTTGTGAATCAAGAACCTGGAAATATTCTATTGCTGTTTACGGGGGAAAGAGAATCTTTGGGTATGTATTCTGCATGCAGAAATTCAGAGGTTAAAATTTTTCCAGTAAATTCATAGTTATTTATTAATTAATTGCCAAACAGGTTAAAACCTTTAACTGTTGTGATGGACCAGCAGCAAGCATTGCTTTTCACTTTTATGATCCATATATTCAGACTCATTAGTTCCATGTATGGCTCTCTAAAATGTTGCCCTTGGTTTGGTATTTTATTCAATTCCCAATGAACTGCAGACTGAAATTATGTGGCATGACCATATCTTAAGGTACAGTGTTCATTCTTCCATCCTTTTATTATCTTGTGTTAATTTTCTTCAGGAATAGCTGTTTGATTGATTCCGATAATTGTGTGTGTTTGACAACAGAAAACAGAATTTGTAAAAAATATGATTAGAGGTTTGTACTTCATGCTAAAATTATGACATTATTTATAATTGATTTGATAAATTAGATTAATCTGTGGTTGAACCTTAATTGAGAACTGATTGATTTAACTGTGGCTAGAGAAGACAGACATTTTTGCTTCCTCATGAACAGGTTAGATGTTGAAATTATAGGCTATATTTCTATAATGTTCCTTGGTATCCTTTTCCCCCTATATACTTTTTCTTTGTTTTCTTATTTGTAGCTTAATCTTTTTGTGAAAATAATTTAAAAAACCAGTGACATTCATTTTGTGTCTTTAAACTGGTTCATGTATGTACTATGAGTCTTGATTAATTCTAATTTCTACTTTATATACATGAAGGTTTAAGTTGGTTTCTGGTCATAGTTAGATAATAAAGCTCAAAGGAAAAACTGCATTGGATAAGAAGTCCTGCAGACATAGGAGTGCCCTTGACCCTAGCATTTCAAATTCTGAGATTTATTTAGGTATACATTTTTGGTATATATTCTGAGATGAAATAGAAATGGCCAGTTTCCCTTGTCAGTCTGATATTTAGTTTGCATGGTAAACCAAGGGAGTAATCCCCAAATTGCAGCAGATGAAAAGTGGGCAAGAGCTGACCCTTCATTTCCTACTAATTAATTCACCCATTGCAAAAAGCACAAGATTCCTGCACACCCGCTGCTGTCCAGAAATGGTAGAATTGTTCTGCCTGACTATACATACTTACCTGTGAGTAACTCCCATTGAATTCAAAAGGTTTCACCTTGAGTAGATATGTGCTGGGTTGCAGTATAAAGGACAAAAAGTAGCCATTTCCTAAAAATACAGTGGTACCTCACGAACTTAACCTATTCCAGGATTCTTGTCATGACCCAAATTGGTTGTGAGCCAAGTCAAATTTCCCCATAAGGATCAATTTAAATAATTGATTTATTAATTCTGCAACCATTTTTTTTACTCTCAAAAATTTGAAGCAAAGTGACAAAGAACAACAAAGATCGCAGCCATCTCCACCCCCCCCCCAGCAATCGTGCAGGAGGGTGGGGGGAGATGGGCGCAATTGCAGGCGCGCTGGTGGGGGAGGTGGGCACGCTCGGGCAGGGAACACGGGTGCAATTGCAGCCATCTCTCCCCCAGCACAGACGTGGCCATCTCCCCCCCACAGCACGACCGCAGTCGCACCCGTGCAGCGAAGACGGGCACACTCACAATCGTCACCCGATGCAGAGTTCGTGACCTGGGGCAAAATTTTTATGAAATTTCTGTTTGCCACCTGATTTGGTCATGAACTGAGGCGTTCGTGAGCTGAGGTACCACTTTACTGTTTTCTAAGTAGTGATCTGCCTGATAAAAGCCCTGCCCTCTAGCTGCAAATACAACTGAGTCCCAGAAAAGCCTAGGCATACCCACCTGTGAATATTATTATCATTACATTGCATTTATATCCCATCTTTTTTCCTTTTGTATGAAACCCATAGTAGCTTTCATAGTGCCTGAGTCACCTAAGGAGGTTCATAGCTGACTGGGGACTAGAAGCTGGATCTCTAGTTCCCCATCCAACACTCTCACCAATACCCTGGTTCTCCCATTCACTGTGTAGCTGCTGCTGGGACTTCTCTGCTCTTGGCCTGTACCTTTTGTGACTTCTTCAGCCATTTACAGAACTTCTTTCCCATGGATTGGAGCTTATCCCAAGTATATCTAACTCACAGGCATACCTTCAGTGCCTTTGTGTGGAAGTGTGAGAAGGGGGGAGTCTTCCTAGGGGTGGCTTATTTTCTTTCTGAACAAGAATGGCAATTAACTTCTGGGGCCTCCCTCTGAGTGTCAACTCCAAGGAAGACTTGCAAATCAGCAAATGGTTGGAGCACTTTCTCAGTGTCAGCCCCCCAAATATGGAATTATCCCCCTACTAAAGTCCATCTGGTGCCAAGCTTGTCATCCTTTAGGTACCAAATTAAGATTCTATGCTGAGTCATTCAAAGACATACAAGGCTTCCCATTGCATGTGTTTTACATGCCTACTTTGTGTGATATATTTATGTTTGGGTTTGGTTTGTTTGTTTTTTGTATTGCAGAAGTTTTTATGGTGTTTACTAGTACTGGGTGTTTGATGAGCTGTCTAGAGAAATGGAGGAGGAGGAGGAGATGAAGAAGCAATAGCAATAACAATATCTTCTAATTTCATCAATTTGATCTTAAATAAATGAGAAGATGAACTTAGTTCACGCTGAATTATACCAGGATTGTAAAGGGCTCCTTTTGAATTTACTTCTGAGGTTTACTTTGGAAACAACACCTGCATACTCATCCCAGCTTTGGGAGATTTTAAAATCCAGAACACTAACTTGACATGACTTGTAGAATGGCATTTTTCACATTAGTACTGGTACAACTGATGAACAGGATTGGATTTGCTAGCAGGGTGATATTTTAGGGTCTAGTAATTCAGCATTTCACACTAGCAAGCATAATTTGGCATCATGCATTGATTATCAGTACAGAAGTCAGTCCAAAAACAAGAGATAGGAATTCTTAAGTAAACAGGTTACCAATGAAAATCTGCCCTCCCTCACTCTGAACATTCCTGTTCTGTTAAAAGTTTCCATTCTTAAATTTGTAAAGCCTGCTGAAAATATCCATCTGACATTAGCTCAAGAGAAGTAGAATGAGTACACATGACCAGACCATTCCTAATTGAAGAAGATTTCTCCCTAATTTAAGATTTCAGTCTGCTGTTAACTGCCTGGAGAGCTTTACTGGACAGTTTAGGAATGAAATGAGATAAAAAGTACTCACAATTCCATCTCTGCCAATTACACACTAAGACCTACAGCCTATTTTACTGGCTCCTCAAAGGAAGTGTCCTATATAAGGACACAAGAAGAACGATGCTGGGTCAGGCTAAGGGTCCATCTAGTCCAGCATTATGTTCACACAGGGCCAAGCCAACCAGGACCAGGCTGTGACAACCCCTTTCTGTTCTTGTTCTCAAGCAATGCTTCCCAGGCAACTGATGTACATAGACATAATGTCTCTGATGATGGAAATAGCATCCAGACCACAGGGTTACTAGTCACTGATTGCTTTATCTTCCATGGATTCTGCTGTAAAAGATCTAGACCTTTCTTTCCTTGGTCTTCTCAAAGTCTCCCATTTAAAATGGAGTGTCCTCCTCGAATTCCAGCACAGCTTTGGCTTCAAGTCTTACTATCACAGTTCTGTCCTCTGATTCATTAGTGCTTGCCATCTGTGCTTTCACACTACTGGTGTTTATGGTAATTCTGTTCTCATTAGAATTAATGTTTGGCTGCTATATATTTTGATGTGCCAAACAGGAAGGCTAAATGCATCAAGGCTTTTATGTTTTCCAGTTTCTTTCCATTGAGAAAACAGTGGTAGTCATGTCTGCTCTGCTTCAAGATCTGTCAGAGTTCAAGGCATGGGTGCGTCTTCTCTGCTCACTGGGGGAATTTTGGATGTTGATCTGTGGATCTGAATGTTCTGTATTCGGAAAGTGCTGCATCTGGTCACTGCCATTTCAAGTTTATGTATACAGATAGCAGGACTGCTTAAGATCCCAAGTTCGTGGACAGCTGCCTCTCCAGGTAGACAGCACAGGTCTGAAGGGCCAATACAACAGCTTCATATCCAGTAAATTTTAAAAATAAGCATGTTCCATATATTGAAGGAAGTATCTTAGCATTACATCTTATCCTAGTGATTCTTCATGCTGAATTTACCTTTTCTGTTACTGGAAAAATGGGCAGAGTCAGAAGTCACAGAGTCAACTTTCCATGACTGACATGCTTCTTATGGGAACATCCCACTGTTGGAGGAAGGAGGAAATGTTTTTTCGTGAGTTTCGTATCCACTGCAGTCCACTTTGTCTCCTGAATGTCTGTTACAGTGGGATGATAGACCCACTGTGTAGGAGGTAGCACTGGGAGCTGTGGGGGGAGAAGGGAATTGCTGAAAATTGTCTTGCCTCCCGCTTCCTGGATTGCAGACCTATATATGAATGGAACTAGCCTTTATCTTCAGAGATAAGATATTTTGGAATCAACATTTTGGTTTATAAGGCTGAAAGGTCTATATTGTGTATTAAATTGTCACTTACAAATACAGCCAGAAGATGTGAGCGTAAGAGCATAAGAACAACTATGCCAGATCAGACCAGTGGTCCATCCAGTCCAGCACTCCATTCACACAGAGGCAAACCATCCCTCAAGGATCCCTCAAGCATGATGGGTGCAAGAGTTCCACTTACCCAAGTTCCTTAGCCACTGATGTACATAGCCACACTCCCTCTAGTAACGCAGCACATAGAGAAAAAGACTAAAAGCCATTGATGACCTTTTCCTCCATTAATTTTCCCAGTTCTCTTTTAAAGCCACCCAAAAGCAGTGAATTTCATAGTTTAATTATGTGTGTGTGAAGTACTTACCTTTATCTCTCCTGAATCGTTCACTAGTTAGCTTCATGGACAACTTCAGGTTTTTGTATTATAGAACTTTTTTTTTGGGGGGGGGT